TTTGAAAGCCTTCTGTCTAGAAATAGGGCAGAGTCACAACGCAAGCTTGCAAAGGTTAAAACTCCAGTCTTCAAGCCCCACTTGTTACAAAACTGCACAAAATCAGCTGTTCTCGTTTTCTCAACCAATGGCTTCAGTGATGTGTTTGTATATGTGTTCCCATATGTGCACCATTCTCTCTTGAATTTCTCCATAACCAGGGCTCCTTCCCCTTGACAGCAATTGTCAATGTTTTTCCATCAATGATGACTCCATATATTCTACCTTTCTCAAACTGGCTTCTTCACAACCTCTAGTGTGGAGATAAATCTGAAAGATTTACTCTGAAAGTTTTACTCTGAAAGATTTTTTTGGGTAAATAGAATTATTTGATATATCTAAAAGTGTTTCAAATGAAGAAAAGCATTGTGTGCTCCCAAAACACAGCATCTGTGTTCCAGAGGAAACGATAAGCACTCCTAAAGAACTACACTTATGTTTTCAGAATGTTGTCTAAAATCATCCAGGTAAGAAGTCCCACACTCGAACCATGCTTCCACATTCTCCTTTAAACAATGTCATTAAAGATATGTGCTGCCCTAAAGCTAGCTTCCTCATCCACCCCAGTTTAGAGATATCCAAGTAAAAACCACAAAAATAAGCCAAATCGAAGACCCAAGCACTTAGCATACCTCCAAATACTGCAGTGGTTTGAGCCTCCAGTTGGGCATTCTCTCACACCAGTAAAACTGTTCCATGGACCAGCGAGGAAGAGGGCCATCCATTGTCATTTGCATACTTTCCAGACGCCAAGATGATCTGTTGCTTTACTGACAGCCAATTGCACAGGGCTGATGTTCACAGAAAGGACGGACCTCTGTGGCCATAACAGGCCCCAGTTCAACACACAGGCCGGCATTGCCATGAGACAGGCCTCAAAATCCACACCATGTCCTCTAGGGCCTCCACTACAAGCAGTGGCACCTTTCACCTGGCATGGTGGGGGAAATGGTGAAACCCTGGCCAAGATGACGTCCCACTGAAAGACACAAGGACACCAAGGAGCTAAACAACAGATTCACATGAGGCGTCAGGAGGGGAATTTGGGAAGGAAACAAAAAGCCCAAGGACAAGAGCCTTCCAGGGCACGTGGAGACCCACAAACAGAGGAGAGACACATGTGGAACCATCGAGGTTTTATTAAATTCAAGCCCAAGGGCCGAAACCAGATGGCTAAATAGGTCCCCAAGACTCCACCCCACAATGGTCCCCTCCATTGGTCCTCAGCATAATCCTATTGAGCAAGATTTTTATGTCATCATCTCTCTTTGAGACCATATGAGTTCTCATCATTGACCTAACCAAGGCAGTCCCCACGCACCTGTGCTTCCCAACCCCATGCACAACATGCTTACCAAAGAGGGTGTCTTGAATGCGAGATGGCTGGGGTGGCACCTTAGTGTGGGCATATTCCAGAAGCTGGGCCAATTGATTATGTGGGCCAGGTGGGATCGTCATTTGGGCAGGGGATCTGTGGACAGAGTGTAACACAGATTTGACAATGGCCTTCCCCATTGCTCCTGACCTTCTGGGCAATGGGCATGAGCCCTGAAGTTGTAGCACCATGACTCCACCTATGACATAAGCAAGACTTGAGGGATGGCAGGAAGGCTCCAGAGCAGCATGCAAGGTCCTCAGTGCATATGTGTCCACCTGACACAAAGGAAACCTAGGCCCCCACAGGGAGATGAGAATGGGAAAAGAGCCACCAAGAGGCAGGCTTGCAACACAGGTCACCAAGTGAGTGAGACAACACTTGGAGAAAATGTGGCAGGCAGAATCATGGACCATCGCTGGTAGGGCCCTGCCCTTGGCTTCAGGAAGAGTGGGCAGAGATGGAAGCCAGGGATGGGCCCAGGGCTGTTGAAGACATGGGTATCCAAGCTCATTGATCAGTGGAAACGAATACCTCCTTGGCAGAAAGTGTATATGGAGACCTGAGGAGCTACACAACGGCCACTTGGCAGGTAAATCCCTGCTCTGAATGCAGCTGCTCAGAGACCTACGGAAAGATTCCTGGGGTGCTCATGGGACTGGTGTGCATCCCACCAGCATCCACATCCATTCCCAAAGAGTGCTGCTATGAGTCCTCTGTAGGAACACCTCGTCCTTTCCTATTTTTGCACATTGGGCTAGAAAAGGGAGAGTCCAGCACAGTTATAAAACCATGTCAACATCATTGGTAACAGAAAAACAAGCATGCCCTGGGTTGAAGCACCATCCCAAGGGGCGATGGCAGGCAAACCCATTCCAGGTATGGGAAGATGCCTGGACCCATAAGGCAATGCATCCAACATAAGAGGGCTGATTGGGAAGACCTGGGAGCCAAGAGGGAATACCTACATTCGGGGTCCCTGAGAGCAGCAAGCACTCTTCAGGGAAGGTCTCCCCACTATCCCAGAGTGCTCTAAAGTCATCCAGCTGAAAGTCCTGTTCCTGCCACCCTCCCCCTGTGCCCATTCTAGAAAATGTGGGCGGAAGCCCTTTCCTTCAGGAGTTTGCCATAGGCTCCAAAGCCCATGGCAGGACCTCATGTCCCTCCCAAAACCTTAGCAATTCTGACACCAAGATGAAAAACATGCTAAACCAGTGAAGGGAGACCATAGGCCCTTGAGAAAGAGGAGCTTTCCAGGGAACTTGGAATCATTGCAGGAGACACAGATTACATATGGTGTCAGGAAAGCAGATGGCACAGGCGTGATATTCAGGGACATGCCAGGCCTCTGTGTCAATGATGGGGCCCAGGTACCACATACTGGCTGGTGTTGCCCTGAGGCAAGCCTCCCCATCAGGGAATTGCCACATCCCTTGGGAATTCCATGTACTCATACTGTAATCCACACACTTCACATGATGGGGGCAATGGCAAGACCCTGGCCACAAAGAAATCATCCCACTGAAAGACACAAGGACACCTAGGGAGCTTATCCAAGGATCCAAGTGAGGCATTCCGGGACACAATATGGATGGGCACACAAAGCCCCAGAGTGGGAGCCCGTCTTAGTCACATGAAGGCCCATAGACCAGGGAGAGCCACACTGGGGAGCCTCAAGGGATCAGTCGACTGGAGCCTCATGTGACAGCACTTTTCCAGGGCTACAGGGGTGGGATCCTGAGGCAGAATCCTCAGGATGGTGGCTTCCAGTGAGCCTCAGCATAATCCCATTGTGCATGATATTTAGGTCATCATCTCTCTTCGAGACCATATGAGTTCTCATCATTGACAAAACCAAGCAGTCCCCTCCCACCTGCATCCTTCTCCTGCCAGCTCAACATGCATACCAGAGATGGTTTCAAAGAGCAGGGTGACTAGTTGGGCATATGGCTTAGGGCATATTCCCCAAGCTGGGTCGAATTAGCCCTCCATGTGCCCAGCAGGATCTTGGTCTGGGCAAGGGCTCTATGCAGAGAGAGGCAGCTCAACCATGAGAATGACTTTCCCAATGGACTTCACCTTGTGGACATGGGCACAAGCCCCGAATGCATGAGGACATGACACCATAATTGACACCAGCAAAAATCCAGCAGTGGCAGGAAGGAAGGCTCCAGTGTGGCACTAAGGCCCTCAGCCTGTGTGGTTCCACTGGACACCAGGGAAGGCAGGGCCCCCACAGGGAGCTGAGCGTGGAGGCTGCACTGGAAGTCAGCAGGCCAGCCACACGGGTCCACCCACCGTGTGATTGGGACACCCCTTGGTGAGCCAGTGGCATGCAGATTCCCAGGCCATGTCTGACAGGGCCTGGCCCTGGGCTTTGCCCGAAATGGGCAAGCATGGTGGCCTAGAATGGGCCATGGATGCTGCACTCAGAGGATGCACACAAAGATTCCTGGGGTTATCAGGGCCCTGGCGTACCTCCCACCAGTGTCCACCTCCATCCCAAAACATCACTGCTTCAAGTCTTCCGTGGGACAACTCGTTCCTTCCGATCTATGCACTTAGGATTAGTGCAGGGAGAGGGGTTAGCAAGATTCCCAAGTGACTTAAACCTCATTGGGAAGAACATGCACAAGACAAGAATGTCGGTGTGCCCTGCCTCAGGGCACCACCGAATGGCAATTGTCAGGCAAAGCTCCATCCAGTTGAGGAAGACCCAGGAGCCCCATAAGGACATGTGTCCACCAGGAATGGGCCCATAATGAAGATCTGGGAGCCAGGAGTCCCACGTTGCCAACTGGGGTCCCGGCCAAGCTCCCAGCAGTCCTCAGGGACTGTCACTACCCACTATGCCAAAGCTGTCCAGGATCCAGCCATGTAGCCCCTGGCCCGGCTTCTTCCTCCAATGCCCATTTCGGGAAATTTGGGTGGGAACTCTTTCCCGTGGGAGGTCACGGGGGGCCCCAATGCCCACTACAGCACCTTGCATGCCTCCAAAGGCCTTGGCAATTCTGATATCAACCTGAGCTCCCTCCCACACTGCAGAAAGCGGACCATGGCCAGACAAGAAAGAGGATCCCTCTGGGGCCGTGGAAACACTTGCAGGAGTCACAGGAGACCTATTATTTCCCAACAGCCCACTGCACAGGGCAGACTTTCAGGGCATGCCAGCCCTCTGAGGGGGTGATGGGGCCCCAGTCCCACAGGCTGCTTTGCATTGCCCTGAGGCCAGCCTCCCCATAGGGCCCATGTGCCCTTGGGCCCCTGTCTGCTTGCATAGGCATCCACTCACCTCACATGGTGGGGTCAATGGGGAAACCCTGATCACAGAGATGATGTCCCACTGAAATACACAAGGACACTGAGGGAGCTTAGCCAGGCCTCTGAATGTGGGCTCCTGGGATGCACTAAGGATGGCCACACAAAGTGCAAGAGTGGGAGCAGTTTTAGGCACATGGAGGTTGATAGACCAGTGAGAGCCACACTGGGAAGCCACAAGGGATCAGAAGCCTCGAGCCCCAGGTGCCAGCACTATGCCAGGGCCACAAGGGTCCACAGGTCCCACCTCAGGACGTTGCTCTCCATTTGGCCTCAGCATAATCCTATTTAGCATAATTTTTAGGTCATCATCTCTGAGTCCATATGAGTTCTCATCATTGACCCAACCCAGGCAGTCCCCACACACCTGTGCTTTCGCCCCACAGGCTCAACATGCTTACCAGAGATATTGGGTGAAGCGCAGGATGGCCATTTAGACTCCTGGCTTGGGGCCTATTTCTCAAGTGGGGCCAAACTGTACACTATGCAACAGGTGGGATCTCAGTCTGGGCATCGCCTCTGTGCAGAGAGAGGCAGCTCAGGCATGACAACACTCTTCCTCATCGGACCTCACCTTGTGGCCATGGGACTGAGCCCTGAATGTGTGGGGCCATTCCCGCATTCAGGATGCCAGCAAAAATCCAGGGATGGCTGGAAGGATGTGTCCAGCCCAGTGCCAGGTACAATGTACACCAGGGAAAGCAGGGCCCGTATAAGGAGCTGAGCATAGAGGCTGCAACAGCAGGCAGCAAGCCAGCAGTACAGGTCCCCCCACTGTGTGATTGGCACACCACTTGTTGATCTGGTGGCATGCAGAATCCCAGCCATGGCTGGCAAGGCATAGCCTTGGGCTTTGCCAGGAATGGGCAGGCATGGTGGCCTGGAACAGGACATGGATGCTGCACTGGTGGACCTCTGCAAAGATTCCTGGGGTGCTCAGGGGATAGGCATGCATCCCACCAGCATCCACATCCATCCCCAAACAGCGCTGTCCCATGTCTCCCATGGAGACAACTCGTCCCTTTCTGTCTTTGTGCTTAGGTTTAGCACAGGAGGGTGCACAAGACAAGAACCTTGTCCTGTCCTGGGACACCAGCCAAAAGGCCATTGGCAGGCAAATCCCCAATCAGTCTGGGGAACACTACATGGCCCCATGAGGCCACGTGTCCACTAAGAGTGGGCCCATCAAGAGGACTTGTGAGTCAGCAGCCAAGCAGGACACTAGGGGTCACAGCCAAGCTGCGGGCATGCCTCAGGGACCATCTATCTGCTATTACAAAGCTGTCTAGTATCCAACTAAGTAGTCCCGGGTCTGCCCTCTTCCTCCAATGCCCATTGTGGGAAATTTGAATGGAAACTCTAACCTGCGGGAGGCTGAGGGGGGTTCCAATGCTGAGTGCAGCACCACACTTCCTCCAAGGGCCTCAGTGTTTCTGAAAACGCCCTGAGTGCCCTCCCACACTGGAGAATTTAGCCCATGAGCCAGCAAGAAAGAGGATCCCACTGGGCACCATGGAATCACTTGTAGAGCACAAGTGACCTATCATTTCCTGACAGCCCACTGCATAGGGCAGACGATCAGGGACACGCCAGCCTTTTGGGGCGATGACAGAGCCCCAGTCCACAGATGGCTGGCGTTGCCCTGTGGCCAGGCTCCCCAATTGGCCCAAGTGCACTTGCCCTCTCGCTACTCACACAAGCATCCACTCTCCTCCCATGGTTGGGGCAATGGTGAGACCCTGGCCACATGACAACGTCCCACTGAAAGACCCTAGGACACTGAGGGAACTTAGTTGGGCTTCCAGGGAGGTGTCCCAGGATGCACTAGAAATGAGCACACAAGCACCATGGTGGGAGACTGACTGGGCAAGTAGAGGCCCATATATCAGGGAGAGCTGCCCTGGGGAGCCTCGAGGGATCTGTTGCCTCCAGCCCCAAGTTCCAGGGCTTCGACAGGGCCACAGGGTCGCCAGAATACTGCCTCAGGTCGGTGCACTACATTGGACCTCAGCATAATCCTACTGAGTGTAATTCTTAGATCATCATCTCTCTTTGAGACCATATGAGTTCTAATCATTGGCCCAACCAAGGCAGTTCCCACATGACTCTGTCTTCACTCCTTCAAATCCACATGCTTACCAGAGAGGGTTTTTGAAGTGTGGATTGGTCATTTGGACCCCTAGTTCCAGGCCTATTCCAGATGCTGGAAAAACTTCCCTCCATGTGCCAGGTGGGATTTCAGTCCGGGTACAGGATCTGTGCAGAGAGTGGCAGCTCAAGAATGACAACCCGCTTCCCCATCAGACCTCACCTTGTGGCAATCAGTCAAGCTCAGAATCCGTGGGGCTGGGACTGCATCCATGATGCCAGACAAAACTGTGGAATGGCGGTAGGGAAGGGTGCAGAGTGGGGCCAAGGCCCTCAGCCTCTGTGGTTCCACTGGACACTAGGGAAATCAGGGCCACACAGGAGTCTGAGCATAGAGTCTGCAACATCAGGCACAAGGCCAGCCACACAGGTCTACTCCTAAGCATGATTGGGACATCACTTGGTGGGCTGTTGGCAGGCATAATACCAGGCATTGGATTGCAGAGACTGGCCATGGGCTTTGCCAGGAATGGGCAGGCATAGTGTCCTGGAAAGGGCCATGGCCACTACCCCAGGGACCCAAGAAATAGATTCCTTGGGTGCTCAGGGGCCTGGCATGCATTCCACAACCCTCCACCACCTTCCCCAAACAGCGCTGCTCCATGTATCCCATTGGGACACCTAATCTCTTCAGGTATTTGAGCTTAGGGTTAGTGCAGGGAAAGGGGGTACCACGGTTCCCAAGCAATGTCAACATAATTGGGAATTAAATGCACAAGACAACAACCTGACATTGACATGTCTCGAGGCACCCATTGAAGTGCGGCTGTCATGCAAAGCCCCAACAGAGTGGGGGAAGTCCTAAGGGCCTCACAAGGATAGAAATTCAGAAGATGGGGCCAAGGTGAAGACCCTGGGGCCAAGAGCCCCATGCCACTTGGGGTTTGGACCAAGCTGCAGGCATTTTTCTAATACCATCCACCCATTATGCCAAAGCTGTCTAGTGTCCAGCCAAGTAGCCCCAGCCAGGGCCCCTTCCTCCAACGCCCACTGCATGATATTTGGGTGGACTGCTTCAATGCAGGAGATCACACTGGCCATCAGCAATGAACACCACAGCACCTCGCAGTGCCTTCTAATGCCTCAGTGATTCTGCCATCCACCAGAGTGCCATCCCACACTGGAAAACGTGGCCCATAGGCTGTCAAGTAAGAGGATCCTGCAGGGGACCGTGGCATCCCTTGCAGGTGTCACGAGTGACCTGTTTTTTCCAGACAGCCTACTGCACAGGGCAGACATTCAGGGACACACTCTCTGGGAAGATGACAGAGCCCCAGTCCCACAAGATGGCTGGCATTGCCCTGAGGGCAGCCTCATGAATTGGCAGAAGGGCACTGGGTCTCTGGGTACTCACACAGGCATCCACTCTCCTCCCATGGTGGGCTCAATGGCGAGACCCTAATCACCAAGATGACTTCCCACTGAAAGACACCAGGACACCGAAGGGGCTTAGTTGGGTTCCCAGGGATGAGTCCCGGGAAGCACTAATAATGGGCACACAACACCCCAGGGTGGGAGCACGTCTTAGTAATACGGAGGCCCAGACCGGGGAGAGCCCCACTGGGGATCCTCAAGGAATCAGTCACCTCGAGCCCCAGGCTCTAGTGCTACGCCAGGGCCACAGGGGTCCCCAGGATCCCGCCTAAGTGGGGTGCCCTCCAGTGGGCCTCAGCATAATCCTATTGAGCATAATTGTTAGGTCATCATCTGTCTTTGAGACCATATGAGTTCTCATCATTGACCCAACCAAGGCAGTCCCCACCTGCCTCTGACCTTTACCCACCAGCTCAACATGCTTACCAGAGAGGGTTTGTGATGCACTGGGTGGACATGAGGGCCCCTGGCTTGAGGCCTGTTCCCAAAGATGGGCCAAACTCCCCTCGTGTGCCAGGTGAGAGCTCAGTCAGGGTGCAGGATCTGCGCAGAGAGAGGCAGCTCAGCAATGACGAACGCCTTCCCCATCAGACCTCACCTTGTGGCAGAGGGAGGGATCTCTGAACGTGCAGGGCTGGGACTGCATTCATCACACCAGGAAAAATCCTGGCCTGGTGGGAAGGAATGTGGCAGCATGTCCCAAGGTCCTCAGCCTCTGTGGCTCCGCTGGACACATGGGAATTCAGGGCCCCACAGTGGACTGAGCATGGAGGCTGCAAAAGCAGGCACCAGGCCCCATGCACAGGTCCTACTGCAATGTGAATGGGACACACCTTGGCGGGCCGGTGACAGGCAGAATCCCGGGCCTTGGCCCAAAGGGACCGGCTCTGCATTTTGACAGGAAGGGGTGGGCATGCGGTCATGGAAGGGCCCACGAACACTACCACGTGGATGCAATGCCAAGATCCCTTGGAAGATCAAAGCCCTGACAGGCATCCCACTAGCATCCACCACCATTTCTAAGCAGCGCTGCTCCATGGATCCCTTGGGGGCACCTCATACCTTACAATCTTTGAGATTACGATGAGGGAAGGGTGAGGGGCCAGCACAGTTCCCCAGCGACATCAAACTCCCTGGGACTTGGGGCACAAGTCAAGAACCCCAGCGTGACCTGGCTCATAGCACCGACATAAAGGGCCCATTGTCAGGCAAAGCCCCATCCAGTTACAGGATGACCCATGGGCCCCATAAGAACATGCGACCACCAGACAGTGCCAATGGTGAAGAACCCGGAGGTAGGAGCCTGCATGCCACTCGGGGTCTGGACCATGCTGCCAACATTTTTCAGATACCGTCTACCCATTATGCCAAAGCTGTCTAGTGTCCAGCAAGGTGGCCCCGGGCCAGGCCTCTTCCTCCAAAGACTATTGCTTTGGAGGGCTCAGAAATCTGGGCTCACTGCATCTACACAGGAGGTCACATTGGCCATCTGCAATGCCCACCACAGCACGTCACGTGCGTACTAAGGCATCAGTGATTCTGACATCAATTGGAGCACCCTCCCACACTGGGAAACGTGGCCCATGGGCCGTCAAGTAAGAGGATCCCGCAAGGAACTGTGGCCTCCCTTGCAGGTGTTGTGGGTGACCTGTTTTTTGCAGACAGCTTAATGCACAGGTCAGACATTCAGGGACACGCCAGCCCTCTGGGGCGAGGATGAAGTCCTGGTCCCACAAGATGGCTGGCGTTGCCCTGAGGCTCCCTCGCAAATTGTCCAAAGGGCACTGGGTCTCCGGGTACTCACACAGACATCCACTCTCCTC